TTCAATGATTCTAGGCCTAACTCGTCAGCTAATGGATCTTGTTTTCTGTTTTGATCAATCTTTAAAAAAAAAAACTTTTACTTTTTACACAAAATATTACTTTTTTAGAGCATTAAGCAATTGAACGTGTCCATGTAGAGGTCTACATTATGTTTCTCCTTCCATCTCAAGGTCTATACAAAGTTTTGAATTTCTTACTTCCTACAAATATAGTGCCCAATCTTTCTTACCCTCTAATTTATTCTTATTATTTCTCCCTCCGTTTTTACAGGTAGATTTGTAGAAGCAATATGGAAATCAGTGGCAAGGAATCTCCCTCACAAAGTTGCTTAATAATGTAGAATGTAATTATGACAAGTAACGTAATTAAACCAAGCTACACGTATGCAAATAAAATCATATATAGTTTTTGCTTTTAAATTGCCAATAGAAGAGAGCCTTACAAGCCATACAGTCGATGAGTTGCTTCTCTATCAACGATTCCCTACAGGATGTTTATATTGTATGCCCTGTATTGCCCACTTAAGGAAATTGTTTAAATGTGTTCAGGAAATCCCTAGGGCCATGCCTTTCGGGCAGAACGAAGAAGAGACTTTCCCTAATGGTTGCCTTACTTGAGCTGGTTAAAGAATCTGAGCAAGGGCCGCAAGAAGGGGAAATCTACGGAAACGACTTTGAATTGCTTGTTCAACTTGACAAATTTGAGTACCGGTGTCTAATGAAGCACCATTTTGCATTCAGCTATGTTTCTCTCTCCCTCTCTCTCTCTCTGTGTCTCTCCTCCTCCTCCTCTCTCTCTCTCTCTCTCTCTCTCTCTAGTGTCAATTTAGTCTCTATATGTATCTATCTATCTTTCTCCCCCCCCCCCTCTCTCTCTCTCTCTTACACATATGTTTTTTACTTTACAGCTGAATTTTCTGTTTCACTGTGGAAAAATGGTAGATTAGGCTAATTACTAACAGAAAAAGCAGCAAAAGCAGAAAAAAGGGAAATAGCAACAATTCAGCAGTGAATGTGTTTCAAAAATTAGCTAACGAAAAAGAAAAGGAAATAGATCACTGTTTGTTCTTAAGAGGTAAAGATTGTTACAAATAACTTTGTATTTAAATACAGGATTTCCAACTTGGCAATGAATGTTAATTTGACTAAATAGTCCACTTTCACGAAAATTATCCACAAATAAATTAAATATGAATAAATAAATTTTCAATCAATTAATGAGTTAATACTTGTGTAGCCATGGTGACTGCTTTTTTGGTGTGTGTGCAAAAACTGTGCATAATAGAAGAAATGAATTACATTGTAAATGTACATTTATAATAATAGTGCCAGAAATTGCCATTTTGAGATAAAATTCACAGGCTTAGTCTTAGATCGCGATTCCAGATTCAGAACTCTTCATAATTCACATGCCCTGTAAATATTATGGAAAAGTAGTTTATTGACATTTTTTTTTTTTTAAAGACATCCATGGACATACTGAATAATAGAACATCAGTTCAAGGTTCAGTCACATGACTCACATGTAAACATATATCTACCGGTATTGTAAAAGACGACATAAATCTTCATTAGATCAACACACCTCACTACACTTCTGCACACAATTCAGATTGTGCAACACACTGTGCAGACGATTCTCTATGTTCAGTATACACCTGTTGGGTGAACTTCGAGGTCACCCAATGCGTCCTAATCGTCCTCAATTCTGTAGGCTCTCCTACAGTACCTACTCCCTGCTGGCAAAGGCAAGGAGAGGGCAAACGAGCGCCTAACTTTAAAAATAGCATCATGAACAAAAAAGACAGCGCATAATGGGCTAGACTGGGAGATTGTACTTGCACCCAGCCCTGATCCCTGCGTATTCACTAGTTACATGAAATAAAGAGGTAAATAGCAGGTGATTTGTATTGTTTGGGGTAATCAATTTCAATGCAAATGGACAGGTGGACTTTGATCTCAATGGGGAGGGCAAAGATGAAATGATTCCATTTATCTAAATGAGCTTCTTCAAATATAACAATTAAGTCAAGGTTGCTCAATGTGTATGATTGCACAAATTCAATCATGGGAAAATGGATTTACATCATCATGGCATTATAAATACATTCTCAACTTCCTCAAGGCTCAAGTAATACTATACCCTCTGTTATTTTGCTATTTTCTATATTAATGAATACATTTATTTTTTTCTGAGGGTGGGGTGAATTTTCACAATTCACATGCAAATCAATCATTTTCCAACCACAATCTACAGCAAATTTAGCAATACATCTACTTGGACATGTATACAACAAAGGAGATGCAAAGTCAAGTACAAACAGGTAAATGAACAAATTGATTTACAAATCTATACTGCCTAAGCCCAAGGCAAAACATGGTTGTCTCTGATGTCAAGCTGATTAGATTTTTCCTGACAGAGGGAGGTACTCTACTTTCACTGGATAATCTTATTTTCAAATCTCATCCTCATGAAGTATCACACTGACTTTGGGGAAGTGCTGCATAAATTTACTGAACTGCAAGCAAAAGTTGTTGATTTGTCTCACATTCCAATGTAATGTTGGAAGTTGCCAAGCAACTAGGTTTGTAAACACACACACAATAAAAATTCATAAATAAAAACCCATCTCTGGAGTGCGGTTTTTTGAAACCCGACAGAAATTTCACAGGTTTTTTGCAGTGTAAATAGTTGCTCTCACAACATCAGTGAATGATTCTTTATTTCAGTCAAGTGGCGCATGTGCATAACTTACAAAAGCAACAAACAGAATTATCAAACACTGACAGTTTGTGACTTTCTGGCAGGAAAAAACCTGATGGTTTTTCAAAATGTTTACATGTTTACATGGGCCTAATGTTAGAGTTTCCAATGTGAAGACTTCCTGCTCAATAGGATAAATTCACAACTAATAGCGCCCTCACCGCAAGCTGTGACAGGTCAATTTTTCAGCTCTCGATCAAAATGACCAAAGTGGTCCGAACTGTGTAAGTTCATTCAAAGGATTGATTTTTCTGATATAAGGATTATCAGCGCACATTTTTATCTTGAACTTGGATGTTACAATGTACCCATCAATTGATTCTGACTGAAAATATTGCATGATTTTGGATATTAATCAATACAAATGGCCGTGTTCGGCCTTCAAACCTTCACTACCAAAAATTCTGATTGAACCCCCACATATCCTAGGGCGTATATATCACAATGCCACAGCTGACATATTTGTTGACATTTTCCTATGACGCAAAATTCAGGTGAAAGCAACAAAACATTGGGTTTTGATAGATGGCGAAGTGGATTCCAAATTCACAGTATTCGAAGCTGACCAACACCTACACAATGTACTGGTACATGTATTACATAGAACTACTATCACAAAATGCTGCCCAAGGATTAATTCTTTAAACTTTAAAGGGTAATTCTCTGTTATCTATCAAAATATAAACATATACGCCAATGAAGCTTTTAAAATAGTGTTGATACATGTACATGTACATTGTAGACCTCTAGTGGGTGTAGGGTCTATTCTGTACTAAAACAATCATTTGAGGGGGAGGCAACTTTAAGGTCATTAAGGTGAGATGATAGCCTATATTTAATCTCGATCACTGTATACACAAACCCAAGGACAGAGTGTGAAATCAATGCAGACTTTTATTTCCAGCATATTGGTCAGACAAACTGGAGAGGTGTCCCCGACTATGTCACAATTCAATGTTCAAATTATCATGGTTGCACTTTCACCATGGATACAGTGCAACCATAAGCCTACAGTACTGTCAGGGAATAATTTTCCTGGTATCGCATCGCAATTTGCTATGCATTTTTGCATGACTGCTATACAAAATATCTTTTGTGTAGCAGTTTTCTTCCATAGAAATGTACAGAATTTCATTTGAAATATTTATCCATCGGCTGAAATTGCTAATCAAAAAATTTGAGGAAAATTATTCCCTGACTGTATATCTACATCACCATGCAAGCCGATACTTATAAGCAGCATCTATTTTAATTGGCCAAATAACAAAAATGAAGTTTTTCTCGTCCCTGCCCGCCTACTAACTCTATTCATAAGAAAAAAAGCCCCCAAATAAAAAAAGCTGTGGTTTAGTTTGTTCAAATAGCTTCTAAATTGATACATACTGTATCACTTGTTTTGTCATACATTGCATTATTACTCACATGGCACAACATCTGTGAATAAATTAAATAGACTTGGCCAGCTATAATTTAGCATGGCAACCATTTTAGTAAAAAAAAAGCAAAAAATTGCAAAATGGTAAATAGTAATGCCCTGCCTCCTCCTTTTTTTTTTAAAGTCCAGACGAGAAACACGTTATTTTTGTTATTTGGCCTCATTGTTCCAACTTATTAAAACTTTCGCAATTCCATTTCTTTTATTTTTCTGCTTTCATACAAATGAATTTAAGATTGGATTGCCTTTAATAAACGTCACGTTAGCAGCCAGCATGCTGCAGCACATGAATAAATTAACTTTCTATTTTATCCTCTCGGGTGATACCATATTTGACTGTCGCTTCCGGCTAGCACTTCTACTTCTATTCTACTACTTGTCAAAGCCTGTTCAGCATCTAGACAAGATCAGCATCTATAGCGCCGATCCAGCCCTAGATCTATAGCTGGATCGGCAATTTCCCGTCATTCGTTAAATTTTCCTGTTGCAAAGATTTCAAGTTTTCTCTTCTTTTTCATGTCATGTTTTTGTACAATATTATAAACAGAAAATTCATCATCTTATAGTGTACAGCAAACGGTGTACCCATATATGCCAGGCAGGTGGAACTATTTTATAGAACTAAAGTTTTATTTAATGATCATCTTTCATTTTTTCTTCATATTTCTAAGACTCAAGAGATGAGATGTAAAATGTGTCATTTTCATACAAATGTAGCTCAGCCACTAACTGTATGGTTTATAGAGTAAAAAGCAGCTGCCACTTTAAAAAAGCTATCCATAGCTCAGTGTTAAAACGAACCTCTTTCTTGCTCGTATCAATCTCACGTATACTGTCGTATGCATCCGATGTATCCAAATCCCCATCTGTCGTGTCCAGTCCTCGACTGACTACGGTCTCTGCCATCGTTTCTCCCCCAGACGCTCGGCTGCGATAACTGAAAGCAACAGCTCGAACTCCAAGACGTAGATGTGTGATTGAATAATAATTGGTGAGGTATTTCGAATAAGCACAGCTAGTATAATTCCACTAATCAAACATTCACCGGCTAAGTCCTTTATATATATCACAGTAGTAGAACAAATGAAACCGAAGAGAAATATATTCATAAAAACTAGAGGCGAGATGCTTGCCAAGTTCGCGTCTCATCAACAGTCATCTCATCTCAGTGGAAGCACACGCGTATCTACGTACGGTACATATACATGAATATACGGGGAGCACCCGCAGATATACGTGCGAATTTACCCCCGGACTGATTACTTATCACCCCGGACTACTTTGGATGCCTCCCGGACAACTACCGTAAAACTAGATTCAGTAAGGTCCCCCGAAACAGCTTATTGATGGATCCAATGGGGTGCAGGAAGCACGTGCCCTCAGCAAATCCTAAGCTGAAATCTTGGAGTAGTTCCATGCTGAAATACACTGTCTACACAAAAGGGAAAAAATGTGCATAAATATTTTTGTGCCCCTTCCAAGAGAATCCTGGATCCGCGACTAAATCCTTGAAAACTATGTCCAGTGTGGTAGTTTTATTTTGTTTGGGAAAGTTATCTATGTGGTAGTTACTAGTTGTCTAGGTGTAATTGATCAATTTAGCAGTTTTACTGATGGAGATGTCGGGATGGTGGCTTGCGTGGGGACAATCGTTGAAAAAATAACAATTAAGATCAGGAAGTATTATAGTTCAATGTATACTTATAATTATGATTAAACGACAATAGCCATAAGCTTGTCAGTGATTAGTGAATGTTACTTTGTATGTGATCATTTCAGTGTCACGCGCAAATGGAGGATATGGTTTAAAACATAATCATGATTTGACAAAAAATGGAGATATCATTATCAAGGCATCGAGCATGCACGGGCCCCCACCACCCCCGTCCCCTCCCCCCTCACAAACAATTTTGTTTATCCTGCATCCTACCTGGTGTGTATACTGTGGGTCACTTAATAGAATTAGAATAACTGTCATGCAACTGAATGCATTTATGTACAGAAAAGAAACAAAATAAATTATGTCTACAATTACTACATCCGCAACTCCTAAAACAAGTTTACATCCTCTCTTTTCTATCTTCCTCGAGTTATAGGCCTACAAGATGTGATGGCGCTATTCATTTTATTTCATAAGAATCACTTAGCTATTGCTGAGCTGTTCGGCGGAATGCCGAGTCTGAGAATCAAGTCAATAGCACATGTATTGTACGATTAATCTGCGATCTGATTTGGGAAGAAATTTTGATACCACTATACTGTAGTGATAAGAAAATTTGAAGATGCACAGTTCTCCTGGCCAATGTTTCATAAAAATTGGTATCAATAATGACTGCCACAGATCTATGACAAATCTGGCCATAGACAAATAGGCCTATGTAGGGATAGCTTATTATTATAACAATTATCATATCTATAGTTAACGAAAGCAAGTTTTATGAAACAGGACCCTAATTACAAACACCTGTGGTCATATAGAGAATTGTAAAATCAAGGCTAATCGGTATTGTTCGGGCCAAATCGGCTTCAAATCATTGTCTTGCATTTTAAATATGGTCTGATTTATTTTGTGCGTGCTGTGTGCGTATGTCATTTGGCAGAGAAGACCCTTTGCTATCAACAGGTATAACTATTTTGGTACATTTTTTCCCAATGTGAACCCTTTTGAGACGCACTGTATAAGAAAATTGCTGAAACTTCAAGGTAAATCCATCCTTAATAGCAAACCACTCTCAACAAAAAGCAAAAAAAAAATATTCAAAGAACTTCAGACTAATGAACATTAAATTTGAACGAAATCGGACGAAAATACGTTTTGAAAGTTGTTATCATCGGCTTCATCGCCATGATTTTGGGAACTTCAAAGTTGCTGAATAGGTATGTCACTGTGACGTCGTACCGGACAACTTTCACATTATTTTGTTCTAAAACATACACAATGACTAAAATTTAAATTTGCAAGATGTATGACTGTTTAGAGGACCGATAATAGCAGGCAAACCATATATTTTTAGTATATAGTGCCCAATGGAAGAAGGCACATATTTTTGTACACGACAATTGGGAGAGTTTTTCGTCTCTACGTCACCATCCGCTGACCGAATTTCCAATTTGAGATTCGCAGTAATTGTGGTGACTTCATATTTCAACACTCACAACTCTCTTATGATTGGTCTCATTTTGTTTCTCACTTTCGCATTATGTTTCTCCTTGTTTGTGCTTTCATACACAAATGAACTTATTTACAAATGTTGGATTGCCCTTTAAAATTAAAAATGGGCTTCTTCGGTCATTACTGATATCGTTACTGTTGAAGTGGCAGATCCGACGGAAGCATTTAGGTAAGGTATAATTATTACCATTTCACCAAACAAACAAAAACGTCTGGGTACTCCTTACCAAATCGAGAAATAGGGGCTGAAGAAAGATCGGGTGATTATTGAATGCACTGTCAATTTTGGTTCATTGTTTATTCAGGCTGTCCACGAAGTGACCCGAGTGAGTCTGCACTAATAATAATCAATCCACATGAGACCCTCCATATCTCGAGGGAGTATACCTTCATCATGGACTCATGGTTAACATTAATTCGTGCTATCGTTAAAGTGTAGTAGTAAAGATGTACCCCACCTTAGCAGTCACCTTTCCTTATAATTATTTTCAGATCACTGATCAGGCATGTAGCCTATAATGGAAAAGCCATGCATGGAGATGTTTGATTCATCTAGATACCCATAGTCGTATGAGGAGAGGGGCTGCAGTCCCGAAGAATTTATAATTTTAATTAGGCTTACCAATATTGGGGCAACTGTATTCGGATAGTAATATGGTTTAAATGCAATATTAAATCTTAATTTGTATGACGTGATGACTAAATTACACCAATTTGTCACTTTAAAGTAGTTCGCAAAAGTATGAAACGTAAAAAATGCATGGCCAAGGCAAGAATGGCGTGATAACGAGATACTCAGGGGTGGAATCAAAAGGGAAAACAAATATATAATTTTCATTATGAAATGTCGGTATGCCATAAACAGAGGGATAAAGGGGATGAAGGTGATGATGATGATAATGACGATGGTGATGATGATGATGATGATGGTGATGATAATGACGATGGTGACGGTGATAAGGATTATGATGAAGTTGATGATGATGATGATGATAACAGTGATGATGATGATGATGATGATGATGATGATGATGATGATGATGATGTCAATGAAAATGACGACGACGATAAAGATGATGGTATATAATGGTGACGATAATCACGACATATTTTATTTTTATTTATTTATTTCTAATCTTTTGACAGGGTAGCCCATTCACCTACAAGTGGTGGTCTTCCATGGGGCTCTGCATAAACATGAACATATTTACATCGTTTATAACGTTTATACAAAAACAGTAGAAAAAATAATACTCATTTGCAAAATAAACATTATATCATTAACCTAGTAAACAGTAATGTCAATAGGAAAATATTGATTAAGTCGCACTTATGTGAATAAGTCATAAGTATAGTATATTGAACAAGAACAGTAAAAAAAAAATTGGGGTTTTTTTTGGTTTTTTTTGTTGTTGTTGTGTTATTCTTCCAACGGGATAGGCCTGAGCAACACCTACCATTTAAAAAAAATGTAACAACTTTTTAATTGGAGAAGCTCTTCTACATCTCTTCCTTACCAATACCTCATCATCACCATGACGACCGCTCCACTAAGCCCCCATCCCGCATCTTCCATCCTTCATACGAATGAATACCCCCAAAATCGGTGAAGGCCAGGGGCGCCGTCAATACTCATTTACAATGCATTTCGTTTCCACCCATCCACTTCGTCATCATGCTGATTTGTTGTACTCATGCATGCATAATTATGGAGCCGAGATTCATGTAATTATTATTATCGTCGACAGGCGCGGTTTCAGAAGAATATATTATCTAAGGAGCCTTTGAATTGGGCTTGTCGTTATTGCATTAGTTTTCTTCATGTGCATCCCTTAAATTCACTGATAATCGAGTTTTTTTTTGGGGGGGGGGGGGGGTGAGAGCTCAACCCTTCCTTTTGAGAACCACTATTGAAGAGGTGCGTGTATTTGTATACACAAAACTTTTCAGAGCGCTGTATTCCCAGCATCCTAACTGTTTTCATGAGCTTATACCGTATGTACCCACAGTTCACAAAAAAAGTCTTGAATTCTTCTCTTCGTAGTTTCTGAAGAGGTACGTCATATTTTATATTTATGTATATGATTCCTGGACCCCATGGAAGACCAGCAGTGTCGTGCCTGGCACAGCTGAATATGGGCTATCCAGCCGTTTTATTTACACTATGTATATACTTGTATTATATGTTTGTTTTTAAAACGGAAAATAAATACGATACTACTACTATACCTGCATTTTTTAGTACCGATAGTGCATCAAGGTCAATATCGTAATACTCTAAATGTAATGGAGAAACTATCATTCGGGGCCACAATACGGGTGGCTGGGGGCGGCATCCTGGACACGTAAACTACCATGGTATTGAAATAAAATGATAAAGGCTCGTTCGCTTGTTCACCCCCCCCCCCTCCATTTAAAAAATGCAGTTTTCGGTGTTATGTCAGAGCAAAGACAATATTATTATGTTTTTTTTTAATACATAGGCCTATAACTTTTTCTTTCGCACCATTATGAAGATGACACGTGTAGATTCGATTAAGCAAAACACATTATTCCACTTCCTTTTCCTTTTCCATGAAATCTGACAGAAGATGAATTAGAGTTACTCCATATGGTATTCCATTTCTCTGCAGTTCTGACTCAATGATGGGTTCTATCAGATAACTGACGATAACGGTGCTACTTATATTATGATACGATATTTAAAAAAAAAATCTTTTCAAATATGCATACAACCTAATTATTATTTTAGTAACAGAAACATTCGTACCAGGGACACTTACGAGTTTCTATTCAAAATTAATAGATTCTCGTAAATTTGATTCTCTGATAGTCATTAGGACGATGCTCTGAATTTGAATCTACGATATTAAAATGTAAACGAAATCTAGTCAAATTGACGAGTTTGGGGATTAAATAAATTTGAATAGCTCTTTTACTTTAAAAATATACTGACTACATTTTGCAAGGAGCAATACTATTCAACTTACTAATTGGTGCGC